TTGACCGGAGCTGCTGACCAAGATTTTGACCAAGCTGGAGTTGGTGATATCTCGTTGACCCTTCAGCCTATCCCCTTACCCTGTGGATGTGCACTGACCCCGCGGTACTTGCTGAGTCTGTCTGTCTACTCTTTCTGCATTGAGTCTCTTCTGTCCTAGGTGCTAGGACTCTGTGGATGATGGATAGGGCCTTGCTGCCAAACCTGCACGGGCTTAGTAGGACCAAAGCTTTACTCTGGCATCTGGAGACCTGGGCATGAGCGGCGAGCGCTTGTTAAACAACTCGTCTAGCCCAATGACCGGTACTGTCCGGCAGGTCTACTGAGTTCAGCGTAGAGGGTCCGAACTCCGAGCTGTAGGCTGAAACGAAGGCCGTCTTTAAGTGTTGAGGCCTTGTTGAGCCACTCCCCTACCGGACCCAGAAGGCTGATGATCCGTGTCTGACGACTCGACTGACCCGAGGGACACGAACCCCTCCAAGGACCGGTACCGACCGACGGGCTGCTCGGTGTGGCACAGGAGGCTGGACGGGCTGAGTTGTGGGCTGAAATCGCCAGGGGAGCCAAGCTGATCGCGTCGTCCTGTTGCGACGTTAAAGAATTCCTGCGGAGTTTGGGGGATCTCCTTAAATGCCTCCTGATCAGCTGCTGGTTCTGTAGTGACAACCTTAGAGTAGTTGTGAGTAGTAGTGGATCTTAGAGAGTCAGTCGGTAGGTCAGTGTGTCCGGGTAGGTCTAAGTTGTGAGGAGTGGGACATTGTCGTGCACCTAACACCACAATGGACGACTATCCGATGTACGGGTTGCTCGTTGCGTTCTCCCTCTAGGGGACCCTCTGGCATCTCCTCTTTCCTCTGGGGTTCTGGCACACCTTTACGTGTAGAGTAGATACCCGGGGTGGTGCCTCCACCAAGCCATACACGAAGGAGGAGGAGGCGAAGATGGCTGCCATTCTGCAGGAGAGGCAGGCGAAGAAGGAGGCCAAGAAGAAGGCCTTGAAGGAGGAGCAGGCGGCCAAATTGAAGAAGATAGAAGAAGAGATTACTGAAAGAAGAAGAAGAGAAGTTGAAAGAGGTGGAAGAGGAGGAAGAAGATGAAACGCCGCTGCAGAGGAAGAGGGGTCAGTCCAGCGGCGGTAGGGATGAGGAGATGGAAAAGCGGATCTCAGAGTGGGTCGCCAACTTATCCCTGGGCGAAGAAGAAGAGGTGACGATGTATATCTCTAAAGACGATCAGGAAGCCGCTATGAGAGCTTGGGAAGCAGAAAARGATGTTGTGAAGCGGCAGGCAATGGAAGATGAGAAGAGAATGGAATGGAGGTTGGCAGTGATGAGGGAGAAGAAGAGGAGAGTGGACGCGGCAGCGGAGGTGGCAGAAGAATTAGAAGAAGTAAAAAAGATAGAAGAGCAACTAGCCGCCCAGACTGAACTCCGAGCTCAAATGCGAGTCATAGCTCGAAATGTTGCACGCCTGGCACGAATTCATGCGGAGCAATACGACTTTAGTAGGAGTCAACACATCGCTGTGCGTTCAATAAAGTTGGGGTTCCGGGACTTTGCGCGTAAGCTGGTAGGCGCTATAGGAACTGAGGTGGGCCACCGCCTCGACAAGACTGAGCGGTTCTGTGTCGGCGCCATTGAGGGCGTAAAGGCGGCAGCTCCCAAGGAGGAGGAAGCACGTCCTCCTCGCCGGGAACCAGTCAAGGTCAAATTCCCTGATTCCTACAGTGGGAAACGGGAAGAGAACTTTGACAACTGGGAAGCCAACGTTAAGACCTATGTGCAATTGCAACAGGTCTCCCCGGATCAGCAGGTTCTAATTGCGATCCACGCGCTGAGAGATGAAGCCGCCAGTTTTGCAAGGTCCCTCGTTCGCGCTGCTAACTGTAGTGACGATCCCGTTGCGTACTCCTCGTTCACGTCTCTCACTGAGTTCTTAAAGTTGTTGCGCGAGAGGTTTGCTGATGTCGCCCGTAGCGTTAAAGCCTAAGATAGGCTGGAGACGATCCACGCTTGTAAGTGGAAGAGCGCCAGGGCACTTAAGAGTACAATGGACGAACTGATAACTGTCCCTGACCACGGGGTTACAGACACCCAGTTGGTCGGCCTCTTTTATAGGGCCATACCCGAAGCCCTTCGCGGACATTTCTTCGCAAAGAGCGAAGACCCTACCACTACGTACGATTCTCTTAGTCGTGAGGTGGTGGCCTTTGAGGCCAAGTCTATGTCAGTTTCCACCTTCTGGCACAAGGACTTGGACAAGGGTAAGCAATGGAAGGGCCGCACTATCTCAGGGCAGGTAAAAACCAAGGATAGCCTTGTCCTGACCTTAGATGAGGGTAGTGTGAACGAGATCCCCTACGATCAGATTGAGTGGGGGTTAGAGGAGGAGGACAGCGGTGTGGGCCAGGGAGGCCGCAAGGAGGAGGACGAGGCCAGGGCCAAGGGGGCCGGGCCTCAGGGAGCCGGTTTCAGGGCGATCAGGGGGTTGGCGGCAGAGGAGGAAACCGCCAAGCGGGAGGTAGGGGTCAAGGTCCCCCGCAAAACCGTCCTAGGAACAGGTCTCCCTACAGGGTAGGAGGATGGCACCCGGGGCTACCGCAGGGTAGGCCTTGGGAAACTTTGGGTCTGGACCAGACTTTATGGCWACWWCGATTGGAYCGGGGCCAGTGCATTTTCTGCGGTGACCCGGGCCATATCATCAAATATTGTCCTAAGTATCGAGAGACCCGAAMGGCTGCCCAAGGGCCAAAAGGCAGCCGCCGGTAGGGGTAGCAACTGCCCCTACCATTAGGCCATGTGGGGAACATAGCGCTAGCCGGCAGGGGACTCCCACACCACATGTGCCTATGGCAGAGGTTGCAGGCCGGTGTCTAGATGGCTGTCCAGAGACTGCTTGTGTCAAAGTCTCTCTAGACACCTCCCTCACAGGCATGGCCAAAGAGTTGAAGGAGAGGATGCCCGCCTGGGCCAAGATGAAAAAGGAGAATAAAGGGCAGCTTATATTAGTAGATACAGAGATTTTTAGAAGTAGAGTAGGGACCCTAGTAGACTCAGGGGCCACCCGCAGCTATATTAGTAAGAAAGCGCTGCAGAAGTTGAAGTTGGGACTTAAAGTCCAGAAACTGACAGACCCCATAGTTAGTATCCTCGTGGACAATCGGACCATGGTTGTAGAGGATTACGTAGAGGGAGTCCAGGCGTACTTCCGCCTAGAGAAGGATGGGAAAGTGGAAGAGGTCCTCCACTCCCTGACTCTCCTCGTAGAAGACAGCCTCCCATTTGATATTATTCTGGGAATGGATTGGGGAGAGGCAGCCGGGGCCACGCTCCATYTGAAGGAGCAMGAGTGTAGGCTCCCTAGTTCTTCAGGCGAGGCCAAGACTGCCCGCCTGTTCCATGTGTCAGGAGTAGAGAATTCCTTGGCGCATTGCTGCCTTAGTGCTCCTGCGTTCGCCAGGTTGGTGAAAAAGGAGAAATTGGAAGAACAGGTTTTCGTTGCCTATGTTAGGCCAGTGACTGAGCCTAAGGAAGAGAAGCCTATAGACCCTGCGATTGCCAAGTTGCTGGAGGAGTTTAAGGATCTAACTGAGCCGCCGACAGGAGTAGTACCGCGGCCCATCCAGCACCGCATTGAGATAGAGCCTGGCAGTAGAACTCCTAAGGGCGCTGTGTATAGGATGTCCCCACGGGAGTTGGAGGAGCTTCGCAAGCAATTAGACGAGCTCCTCGAGAAGGGTTGGATTAGGCCCAGTTCGTCTCCTTTCGGAGCGCCTGTTCTCTTTGTTCCCAAGAAAGAGGGAGAGCTGAGGATGTGTATAGAATATAGGGGTCTGAATGCTATTACGGTAAAGAATGTTGAGCCACTGCCTAGGATAGACGATCTCTTAGATCGAGTGCAGGGGGCTAAGTATTTCTCCAAGATAGACTTAAAGTCCGGATATCATGAGATAGAGGTACATCCTGATGATCAGTATAAGACAGCCTTCCGGACTAGGTACGGGCATTATGAGTTTATAGTGATGCCCTTTGGACTAACCAATGCGCCAGCTACGTTCCAGCGCTGTATGAACGATTTGTTTAGGCCATGGTTAGACAAATTTGTTGTAGTTTACCTAGATGACATTCTAGTGTTTAGTAAGACCCTTGAAGAGCATCAGGGTCATCTCAGGTAGGTCTTGGAGAAGCTGAGGGAAGCTAACTTCAAGATCAATGCAAAGAAGTGCGATTGGGCAAAGACTCAAGTTTTGTACCTAGGCCACGTCTTAGACGGAGACGGCGTCAAGCCAAAGGATAGCAAGATCGCAGCAATTAGAAATTGGCCGACACCGCGTACGCTGACAGAGTTGCGGTCGTTCTTGGGCCTAGCAAACTACTATAGGAAGTTCGTGAGGAACTTCTCCACCCTCGCTGCGCCCCTTCGCAGATTGCTCAGGAAGGAGACCATCTGGAAGTGGGATAAGGACTGCACGTCTGCGATGAAGAAGTTAAAACAGGCGTTGATAGAGTATCCAGTCCTTAAGGTAGCTGATCCGTCCTTGCCTTTTGTCGGTACTATGGATGCTAGTCAGTACGACATAGGCGCGGTGTTGCAACAAGACGATGGCAATGGTTATAGGCCTGTAGAGTTCATGTCCGCCAAGATGCCTTCAGAAAAGGTCGCGACATCTACCTATGAGCGGGAACTCTACGCTCTCAGGCAAGCCTTAGAACACTAGAAGCACTACTTGCTTGGGAGGCACTTCAAAGTCTATTCTGACCACGAGACATTGAGATGGTTAAAAACGCAGGCCAAGATGACACCTAAGCTTACTAGGTGGGCTGCAGAAATAGATCAGTACGACTTTGAGCTCAAGCCTGTCAAAGGAAAGTACAACGTAGTTGCGGACGCTCTGAGTAGGAGGGCAGATTACTTTGGGGCGATAGTGCATTATCTCGATATAGGGAAGGACCTGCAGCAGAAGGTTAGAGAGGCCTACACGCAGGACCCTATCTATAGTGACCTCCTTAAGAAAGTCAAAGAGGCCCCAGAGACTGAGCCGAACTACCGCACTACTGAAAGGTTGCTTTTTGAGAAGACTAATGTATTTGACCGCCTGTGCATCCCCAATAACGAAGAGATTCGTAGTCTGATTTTGGGCGAATGCCATGACACAGAGGGTCATTTTGGTTGGCAAAAGACTTTAGCCAATTTGATGCGCGCGTATACCTGGTCAGGGATGAAGAATGACTGCGTAGAGTATATTCGCAGTTGTAAGGTTTGCCAGCGTAACAAGAGTTCTACGCGCGCCCCGCTAGGCCTTCTCAGACCCTTGCCCATTCCGGACCAGCCGGGGGACTCAGTGTCCATCGACTTCATGGACACTCAAGTCAAGAGCAGGCATGGCAAGAGCCAAGTCATGGTCATAGTTGACCGATTTAGTAAATACGCAGTTTTTGTTCCTTTGCCTTCAAAGGCACGTACCGATTTAGTTATACATAGATTTTTCGACTGTTGGGTAAGTGAGAATGGGATCCCACTGTCGATAGTTAGCGATAGAGATAGTCGCTTTACTAGCCAGAACTG